GGGGGGGGGGGGGGGGGGGGGGGGCGGGGTCCGAGGGAGGCTCGGACCACGATGTGATGGAGGTCAAACCCACGACCTCCACCGGGACGGAGGCGGCGAGCCTCCTCTTCCCCGTCCCCTGACCGGAAGATCGAGGTGGTGGGCGAGCCCTCTAACTCAGGCTCCTCTTCGGAGAACGGGACATGGAGGGGGCGAGGTGTTGTTCTGAAGGAAAAAGAAGGATGGCAGGGGGCGTCTCCCGAAAGACCCTTCGCACGAAGGGTGCTTTACGGCAGAGGCCTTAAAAGCTAAGAAAGTCTTTGCCAAAAGACTCAAGCAGGGCAGGGATGAAGAGCTCGCCCTGGATCCCTCCGCAGTACTTAAGTACACGCCTAGGGTGAGGAAGGCCTGGTACGAGGAGGCGGAACTCCTAGAGGAGTTCAAGGAAACCTCCTCGGCTGGGTTAGGGGCTGTTGTCACCGAGCAGGTGGACTTGCTGCGGAGAGTGGCCCAGGGCTGCTCGAATCTCAAGGGCACGACAGTGAAGTCGCTATGGGACGCGTCAGTGTGCATTTCGACGGCGGCTGCGGTGCTGAATCAGTGGTCGCAGCAGGCCGGCCACGCCGTCACCGAGTCGGAGTGGGAGGACCTAAGAAAGGAGGTCCGGCAGTTGAGGGTGGATCTGCCCCACATCAGGGCAGAAAACGAGACCTTCAGGACCGAAACGAGGCCCTGAAGGCTCAAGTGAAGAAGTTGGAGGACGACAAAGCCGCCGTGGTGAGGGCTTCTAGCCCCCAGTCCCCTCTCTCCTAGACCAAGGAGGGCGGTGACACGGCCATCCGTAGTCGAGGAGACGGAGTCTGAGGGGGAGGGCGCTCAGGGGACATTCATCGTCCTCCCGGACCCCACTCCTGATCACTCCTGCCGCCCGTAACCCGGGCAGACCATCCCCCCGGTGACCAGGCCCCCGCTCAAGGGGATCTCCTCTATAATTGAGCACCCGAGAGTGGCGGAACCGGCTTCCGCTGCTCTTTCAGATGGCGGACTTGAGGCGAGCCTGGATAATCTCATTCCCAGGCCTTTTGGGTCGCATGGGCATCCGTTCCCCCATCCGAGGGGGCTGACTCGGCGATGGAGGTGGAGGCGGAGGAGCATCGCCGTCCCTCCTCCCCAGCGGGGGGACAGCAAGACACGGGGGGATAGCAGGACCCACCCGGACTCCGGGAGTGATTCCTAACAAGGGGGTCCCTGAGATTACAAAAAAGAAAAAGATGGGGTAGAGGGGGAAGGAGGGAGCTGTGCTCCAGGTCCTCCCAGCTCCGGGAGCTCCCCAAGTAAAGGGCCAGGAAAGCGCCCAGGTGGGCCCCGCAGGCCAGAAGAGGGTCCGGAGGGGGGAGCCGCTGCCACCTCACGGCAGACGGGAAAACCGCAGTCTGCAAAAGTGGTCGCGACCCGTTCCTCCTCCTAGCCGTCCACGTCGGACGGCTGGAACAATGTAGTGGGGAGGGTGAAGAAGCCGCAGCTGATCTAGGGGGGGGAACCCTCCCCTCGTGGCGGTAAGAACCAATACCCCAAGGGAGAGGAGGGGGGCAACCGTCCATCTCCGGATTCCTCGAAGGGGGCTGGGAGTGAAAAACCCTCCACAGATCCGACTGGGAAGACGGGAGGGAAGGGTACGCCGCGCCTAAAGGTGCCAACGTCCGCGGCGGTGTGCATCACCTTCCCGGCTGGCAAATACGGCGAGGTGATGCGCACAGCTAGGAGCAAGATTCCCCTCTCCGAGCTGAGGATTAATAACCTTAGGAGCAGAAGGTCCATTACCGGGGCTCTCCTGCTTGAGGTCTCCGACCCGGAGGGGGATAAACTCGCCAATACTCTGGCCGCAAGACTTAGGGTGGTGCTGGCGGGAAAGGAGGGGGTTAGGGTGGACCGCTCTTCTGAAAAGGCGGAGGTCCGCTTGCATAATTTAGAGGACTCTGTCACGGTCGCAGATATAGCAGCGGCCGTGGCAGACACCTCGGGAGGGGACCTCCCCTCTAATATAAGGGTGGGGGAATAAGGAGAGCTCCCAACGGTCTGGGAACCGCCTGGGTGCAGTGCCCCGTCGCCGTGGCTAGGCAGGTCGCGGAGGCGGGCCGCATCCTGGTCGGCTGGGGGATGGCCCGGGTAGAGGTGATGGCTGCGATGCTCCTGCAGTGTTTCCCCTGCTTGGAAGAGAGGCATGTCCGCCAGCACTGCCGCAGCGACGGCGACAGGTCCGGCGTCTGCTACCGCTGCGGCAGCCCGGGCCATCGGGCCGCGGAGTGCACCGGACGCGTTGTGTGCCCGGTGTGCTCAACGGCCGGAAAGGAGGCGACCCATCGATTGGGCGGGGAGGCGTGTATCGCCTCCCAAAAGAAGAAGGGGAAGGGGAGGAAAGGAGCGGGGAAAGCCCGAGCTTTGCCTCCCTTACTCTCCCCACAGGTAGGCGGCCCGCAGCAAACGGTCTCCCAGGAGCTGGTTGCGGGGCCCTCTGGATTGGGCCAAGAAGCCTCTCCGCGAAGAAGAGAAGGGACACTAGGAAGCCCAGAAGAGAGGAGGCTGGCCCATCTGCACCTGAGGACCTAAGGGTCCTCACCGAGATGCAGATGGAGGAGCCTCCTCCGCCGTCGGTGGGCGGAGAGTCATGGGGGGGGGGCGGAAACAGCCCCCGTGCTAATGGAGGTGGCTGGCCTGGAGAACACGGCGCCCAACAATGGCGTCTAAACTCCTCCAGGAAACCCTAGGCCGCGCAAGAATTGCCCAGGACCTGTTCCTCCACTCGCTCGCTGAGCGCGGGGCGTGGCGTCCGAGCCCTACCGGATCCCGGCCAATGATACTCGTTGGTTCAGGGCCCCGGGGGGCTCGGTCGCCGCTTATTGGAGGAGCTGCCAGGAATTTCCCCGGCCGACGCTCATAGAGGCCGAGGAGTTCCTAGTGGCGGTGAAGTGAGGGGCCCTGGTAGTGGTTGCCTTTTACGCTCTCCCAAGGTGGACGGGGGCCGACTACGAGGAACATCTTGACCGGGTGACGGGAATCATCAGACGATATGCCTCCCACCCGGTGGTGGTAGCCAGGGACTTCAACGCCAAATCCGGCGCGTGGAGTTCCCCGGTCACCAATCATCGTGGTCGGCTCATCGAGTCCTGGGCGGCGTCGTCGGGCCTTCACTTCTCAACGAAGGCTCGGTGAGCACCCGCGTGCGCCCGCAGGGCGAATCTATCATTGACCTTACCTGGGTCAATGACTCTGCGGCGCGCGCGGTGAGGGGTTGGAGGGTGGCGGAGGGGATCGACACTGGTTCCATCTCTACATAGAAGTGATCCTCTCCGCCATCTCCCCCGAGGTGTTCCGGCGCCGCCGGGAAAGGGAGCGTGAGCGGCCCGGCAGATGGACCCTCCGCAAATTGAACAAGGACGCCCTCGAGGCGTCCATCGCCACGACGGAGTGGGCTCAGGAGGACGATCCCCCCCTCGACCCATTCTGTCGCCAGTTGACGTGGAAGAGGAGACGGAAGGACTCGGGGCGAATATGGAGAGGGCGTGTGACGCCTCCATGCCCCGGGTCCGCCTCACGCCCTTCAGGTCCGCGTACTGATGGACGGAGGAGATAGCCGAACTTAGGCGCTCCTCCGTCCAAGCCAGAAGACGCATGCAGCGGACCAAAAGGACGGGGAACGTCGCCGAGGCGACGAGAGCGCGCAGGGCTTTCCGGACCGCACGAAAAGCCCTGTGCGTAGCTATTGTGAAGGCCAAGGTTAGGGCCTGGGAGGATCTGCTCAGGTCCCTGGACAAGGACCCTTGGGGGCGCCCGTACAAGATAGTCTTGCAAAGATTGAGACCCTGGGCAGAGAGTGAGTTTTCAACCCCCATTCCTTGACAATGTGGTGGAAGCCCTCTTCCCGGATGAGGGGCTCCCGCCCCTTCCGTATGAGGGTCCCCCGGCGGACTGGAACGAGGAGTGGGAAGTGTCCGGGGACGAGTTGACATGGGCGGCTCGCCGGCTCGGCGGAGCGAGAAAAGCGCCTGGGCCGGACGGGGTTTCGGGTCGAGCATGGGCCCTGGTCTTGGCCGATGTCGGGGCCCGCCTGAGGCGCCTCTTCACCGGGTGCCTCAGGACGGGCACTTTCCCCAGTTGGTGGAAAAGGGCGGGGCTGATCCTCATACCCAAGGTGGGCCGGCCCCTGGACGCCCCTTCCGCGTATAGGCCCATATGCCTATTGGACGAGGTGAGAAAATTCTTTGAAAGGATCGTGGTAGCCCGCCTCGTCCGGCACCTCTCTCGGGAGGACTTGAGCGATGCTCAATTTGGCTTCCGCGTTGGCCGCTCCACGGTGGACGCTATTCTCCGTGTGAGGGCCTTCGCGGAAGCCGAGATGGAGGAGGGGAGGGTAGTTGTGGCAGTATCGTTGGACATAACGAATGCCTTCAACTCCCTCCCCTGGAACCGGGTAGAGGAGGCGATACGGTATCACCGCTTTTTCCTCTACCTGCTCCATATTGTCCGCGACTATTTCTGGGAGAGGACTCTGGAGTTCGTCGACCGTGATGGACTCCAACGCGGAAGGGGCATGCGGTGCGGGGTCCGTCTTGGGGTCCCTGTTGTGGGACCTTGCATTCGAACGCGTCCTCAGGTCAGCTCTTCCCCCGGGCAGCACAGTCGTCTGGTACGCGGACTACACGCTAGTGCTGTCCGGAGGCTCCGACTGGGTGGAAGCCACGGCTCTGGCCAACGTGGCCGTGAAGTACGTCGTACGCAAAATACGGGCGCTGGGCCTGAGGGTGGCTCCTCCAAACACTGAGGCGATATTCATGCACGCTCCGGCGGAGGGGCGGCCCACCCAAGCCCACATAATGGTGGAAGACACCCGCGTGGATGTGGGGCCCGCGCTGAAATATCTGGGCCTTACCTTCGATGGAACTTGGGGCTTTGTCAAGCACTTTGAACGACTTAGCCCCAAATTGGATCGAATGGCGGGCGCGCTAGCCTGCCTCCAGCCCAACTTTGGTGGTCCGCGGACATTGGTGAGACGGCTGTTCGCGAACACAGTCCACTCCATGGCCCTATATGGAGCCTCGGTGTGGGCAGGTGAGATGAAGGTCAGCCGGCTCATAAGGGTGCTACTCAATAGCGCCCAGCGCGTTATGGCCAACCGTCTCACCCGAGCATATCGGACCGTGTCGCACACAGCCGTCACGGTCCTAGCCGGCATGCTACCCGCGGAGCTCCTCGCTAGGGAACACGCCAAAACGTACACCCGTCTGAGGGCACCCCGCAAAGAGGGGACGAGATTGTCGGCCGGGACCATTGGGCGGATCCGTGCCCGAGGCCGGCGCAGGGCCCTCTTGCTCTGGCAAGAGCAACACTGGGGGTTCAATGTCCCGGGCCGGCGGACCATCGAGGCCATCCGCCTCTGTCTCCTCGAATATGTGGACAGGGGCCAAGGCGAGTTAACTTTCCACCTGACACAGGTGCTCACCGGGCACGGCTGCTTCGGTGAGTACATGTGTCGGGAAGAAGCGTACGGCGCACTGCCACCACTGTGCGGCCGATCGGGACACCGCGCAGCACACCCTTGCCGAATGCCAGGTGTTGGCTGCAGATCGCAGTGTTCTGATCGCAGTGGTTGGCGGCGACCTCTCGCTCCTTGCCGTGGTCAGAACCATGGTCGGGAGCAAAGAAGCTTGGGAGAAAGTGCTCTCCTTCTGCTCTTCCGTTATGGGGCGTAAGTAAGCCGCCGAAAGAGTTACGAGGGGGGAGGCTAAGGTTGTACCGCTCTCCCCTTCCACCTCCTCTTCGGAAGAGGACGAGGAAGACGAGAAGCAGAAGAGGCGTGCGAGGCAGGGTCGCAGGTGGCGTCCCCGCCCCCCTTCCGCCCACCTCAGAAACAGAGACCCGGAGGGGAACCCCCCCAACTAAGGGTTCACGCTCTCACAGGCACGCCCTCACATGCGGGCGGCAATGGGAGGGAGGACTTCTCCCCTCCCAATCCCCCCGGCCGCCCGCTGCCCTGACGAGCCAATCCGAGCGACTCCGGAGATAGGAGTAGAGACCATTCATCCACGGAGGAGTGGCCGGGGACGCTCGGATCGCGCTTTCCGATCTCATGAGGCGTCCCCTCACCCGGCCCTCAACGGATAATACTCAGGACCTGTTGTTAACGCAAAGTCACTAAGCGGTAAGTCGCGCTATACGGCGTTGAAGTTCGTAGCCAATCAATGTCTCGTCATCTAATTAGTGACGCGCATGAATGGATTAACGAGATT